ACTGAGAAAAATGGTGACGTGTTCAATACTTATTTTACCCGCTGTATTCTATACTTGCCATATCAGTTTGTCAATGTCATGATTCTGTGTTGTTTTATAGGCTGCCATGAAAAAGGTTTAAGCACTTTTGAACAGCAGAGCAGTAGATACCATAATGTTTTAAATTAGCTTTTATAAATAGTTTGCTTCTTGTTTCTTTTTCTTTTTTCTCTCTCTGATGTGAACCTCCAGGCTGTGAACTTGTTTCTCAAATAGAATGTAATTCTTTGTAAAGAGTGGAATTTTACCAAAGCCTGATCGTGAATACAGTCCTCTTACATTTTTATCAACACAGACGGTGCATTTTTTAAAAAGGTTGTCACAGGGGAAAAAAAACTAAAAAAAATATATATTGGACATTTTACTGGTGATCTTTTGTCTGTCATACTGTTTTGTTTCATACCAAAGGTCATCAGAACAATTTTCTCAAAGAAAAGAAAGTTTTTACTCTTGGCTGAAGTAAAAATATGAATAATTTAAATAGAAGACGTGAATTAAAGGCAGGTGATAATTGCTAAAACATTTTTTAAAGGCCGTTAATGTCAAGGTTTCCTTAAAAACAACTCTCCACAGTAGACCAAACATTTCAGTTATAAACAAAACAGAGGTGTGAATAAAATCAGGCCAAACAAAATATGAATCGAGTCACAAACGTGGACCAGATATCACTCAAAAAAAGACAAAAAGACTGCGAAACTTCAGCAGCTGTTTGAGTCAGTGATGGATTTTATTTACATGGAGTAAAACAAAAACTTTAATTAAAATAACAAAACATTAAAAACTAAAAAGACTAAATAAAATAAATGAAAGAAAAATACAAAAAGAATTCAACGTGTGCGTCATGTTTTTCTCTCTGGTCCTTTTTTTGACTATCTTGATGTCCTTTAAAAATATATTTGTTCTCATGAACACAACAGATCATTTTAATAGTTTTAAACACATTTGCGTTGGACTTGTTAAATATTAGAATCAAACAAATGTAATTATTTTCAGCATCTTCTCCCTTTTTTTAAAGAGTCTGCATCTAGTCAGTCTTGTTTTATTCTTTCCTTTAAAATAAAGAATCTGTTTACAGTGACTCTTTCAATTAGAAATTAAAGAAATGCATAATGAAACTAATACACTCAACAAAGCGGAACACGTCCAACACTTTTAGAAAAGGTCTAGGTGTCTTGATGAATGAATTTCTCTTGTTGCTTTTGATGCCAGAGTTTTTGATCGTTTTATGTTGAGAAATGATGTAACTATAGCGGTTTAAAAATAATGTTATACATAATTTCATGCTGTAATGCATATATTACACAGAGTGTTAGGAATGACTCAACTTCTGCTTCAGTAGCAGCAAAACTGACAGACTTCTAACCATTTTTGTGCTTTTGAACAAAATAAAATAAAATTCTGTGTTTGAAATCTTAAATTAGTTGGTTCCAAATTGTAATAAGTTTTAGGCGTTCATCCATTAATTACTCATTGATAAAGCTGTGACATGTTTTACTCGTAATATCTTTATTATTCTCTCCTTAACCACAAACAATCACTTCTTTTGTTTCTCAGAAAACAGGCAGAGAGTACAGCAGCTCAGGGGGAAACAAGTTTAACAAAACACACGGTTCCGCTCAGGTCACTTGGCTCTATGAAACAGCTCGTCAAGATCCAGATCCCTTCAAAGAGCCATTTGTCCCATCTCTACTCATTCAAAGATTTGTTCAAATCTGTCCAGTGGTTCTTGAGTGTTTGAGCAACCTGACTGCTTAGAGGTGAGCACTGATGCCTCGCAGCAAGTAGGTCCTAGGTTTGATTCCTGGTTCAGACTTCCTGAACTAATTTTCTCTCGCTGAGGTTTTTGCCCGTTCTCTTCATGCCTGTAAAGATTTTCTCTGGTTTCCTCCCTTTAGACAAAAAAACATGCTTATCAGGCCTACCTTAAAGAGATCTGTGATCTCAATGGGATTTGCCTGGTTAACAAGACAGAACTCAACACCAACTGTCACTGATGTCCGCCGTCGCTTGTGCACGCAAGGAAATGCTCAGTATCGGCACATAGCTACTTATATCTGCTTACAAAAGAAAAGAAGTTTTAGCTCAATAGCTGCTTTTGTTACTGAGCGACTGCTTAATGTGATGTAAGGTTCGGCTGGATCACATGACCTTGCAAATATCACCAGGGCTTGGACATTAAGCAGCGACCAACTGTTAGCCATTTTGTTTGAATCATCATAGACCTTCATTATTTAAATAATCTCCGAAGGTGAATAGTTAGACGGACGGACTGAGAGCATATCTATGTCCCCCACCTTGGCGACAGGGGACAAAAAAATGGTGGTCGTGGGTGGGGTACGCAAAATCGACTTTTCAGAGCTTTATATCATGTCATAATGTAAGAAAGTGTTCAAAAATTGGATGCCCGAATAATTGTGCAGAAAACCAAGCTCTGTTCTCAGTTAAAAGGTTTGTTCTTCAGCTGTATCATGCTTAGAGCCACTGTCTGTGTGTCTCTGCTCAGAATATGTGTTTTCTCAGCTACCACTCCAAACGTAACGTCTGTAAAACCATCTGTGACGTAACGTCTTTGTGTTGTTTTAAAAACAGATAGCCGTGGCACTGACAAAAAAAGGTCAGATAGCAGTAATCAAGGGTAAAATCTTGTATACGTGTCATGATCAACAACATTTCAGAGCTTTTCTTTCAATGTAAAACTCAAGTCAAACTGCTGACATCAGAGCGCTTCACTCACACATTTCCCCTGAATTATAAAGATTCAATTTTAGGAACGATTGTTTCATTTCTGCAGCTTGTTTGCTGGTGCTTTCCGAAGGTAACGATAAAAAAACCCCTCAGAAAATCAATTTAGACATTAATGTAAAGTAGAACAGGTGGAAGATGCAGGAAGGAAAAACACAAATAAATTTTTAATTTAAATTTCACTAGTAGACTTATTTCACAAGGTAACAAAACTCAGTTCACAACTTCAAACTCTGGATTTTTCATGAACACCAATTTACAAACATGAAGCCTTTGCTAATTCTTTTACATACAGTGGGATGTGAAAGTTTGGGAACCCTTGTTAATTTTCCTGATTTACCTTTATAAATCACTGATTGTTTGGATAAAAAATATCTATTAAATATATCATACAGGGGACAAACACAGTGATATTTGAGAAGTGAAATGAAGTTCATATGATTTACAGAAAGTGTGCAATAATCGGTTAAACAAAATTAAGCAGATGCATAAATTTGGGCACCATAACAAAACCCTAACTCAATATTTAGTAGCTCCTCCTTTCACAGAAATAACAGCCTCTAAACACTTCCTACAGCTTCTAATGAGAGTCTGGATTATGGCTGAAGGTATTTTAGACCATTCTTCTTTTCAAAAACATCTCTAGTTCATTCAGGTTTGATGGTTTCTGAGAATGAACAGCTCTCTTTAAGTGACTCCACAGATTTTCAATAATATTCAGGTCTGGGGACTGAGCTGGCCATTCCAGAACGTTGTACTTGTTCCTCTGCATGAATGCCTCAGCAGATTTTGAGCAGTGTTTAGGGTGGTTGTCTTGTTGGAAGATGCAGCCCCGGCTTCAGCAGCTTCAGCTTTGTCACTGATTCCTGGACATTGGTCTCCAGAATCTGCTGATGTTGGTTAGAATCCATGTGCCCCTCAACTTTAACAAGATTCCCAGTCCCTGTACTGGCCACACAGCCCCACAGCATGATGGAACCACCACCACATTTTACTGTAGGTATCAGGTGTTTTTCTTGGAGTGCTGTGTTCTTTTTCCTCCATGCATAACGACCCTTGTTCTGCCCAAATAACTCTATTTTAGTTTCATCAGTCCTCAGCACCTTATTCCAAAATGGAGCTGGCTTGTCCAAATGTGCTTTAGCATACCTCAAGCAGCTCTGTTTGTGATGTGGGAGGAGAAAAGTCTTCCTCTGCATCACTCTCCCATACAGCATCTCCTTGTGTAAAGTGTGCTGAATAGTTGAACGATGCACAGTGACTCCATCAGCAGCAAGATGATGTTGTAGGTCTTTGGTGCTGGTCTGTGGGTTGACTCTGACTGTTCTCAACATCCTTCACTTCTGTTTATTGGAGATTTATCTTGGTCTGCCACTTCAATCCTTGACTTGAACTGTGCCTGTGGTCCTCCATTTTCTCACAATGTTTCWCACAGTGGAGACTGAAAGCTGAAATCTCTGAGATAGCTTTCTGTATCCTTCCTCTAAACCATGACGTGAACAATCTTTGTTTTCAGCTCATTTGAAAGTTGTTTTGAGACTCCCATGCTGCCACTCTTCCGAGAAGATGCAAAGAGGAGAAAAACCTACAACTTCCCCCCTTAAATACCCTTTCTCATAACTGGAGTCACCCGTGTATGAAGGCCAAGAGTCACTAAACTTACCAAACCAAATTTAAGTTCCAATAATTAGTTCTAAAGGTTTTGAAATCAATAAAATGAACACGGTGCCCAAATTTATGCACCTGTCTAATTTTGTTTAACCAATTACTGCACACTTTCTGTAAATCATATAAACTTCATTTCACTTCTCAACTATCACTGTGTTTGTCCCCAATATGATATATTTAACTGATTTTTTTAAATCCAAATAGTCAATGATTTATAAAGGTAAATCAGGAAAATTAACAAGGCTGCCCAAACTTTCACATCCCACTGTCCATGGTTTGTAACATTAAAAAAGGAACAAACAAGCTTCAAGAGCCCAGCTTTGACTAACTGGTTCCTATTTGTTAGTCTCATATATTTTATTGAAAACCAAAAACAACCAAATTGATATTTCTTAAAATTGTGATGTTTCATTTTCATTTGTCTTTTTTTCTACCTAAAAGCTGCAGACCTGACCTGGATTTGCTGTTATTTTGTTTAATCCAGACTTCTGATTTTGACTGCTCCTCCTCTTGTCTTTCCTGATTTTGTTTTTTTGTTTTCGTGTCCCCAGTGAGTGAAAATGGGCCATGCAGTTATGAGATGGGAGCAGAGGAGGCAGCCAGGGTGGCATGCTGACTGGAGGAGTGCCAACTGCTCTCAACCAGGTAGGGATGTTTGCCAGCTCAACCCCCGCACCCCTCCCCCACCTGTCTGTCTGTCTGAGTCAGTGGCCGTCACGCTGGCTGACATTCAAAGTTTGTCACCAGCAGGAAGATTCACCGCTTTGTTTCCCTCACTTTCTGTGTCTCACAGTGAAAACGATACAGACCTCATCAGGTCCCGGCAGCTGCTACCTTTGCACCACAAGTCCACCAGCAAACAGCTTTTATGGTGAGAAAGTGGAGTTTTTTTTTAAATTTTTGATCTTGATGTCGTAACTGACCTTTTTACAGTGACTAACGCACACATATAAAATGTTCCCTGTAATCTATGTTCTACCGTATTTATTCATGTATAATACAATCTTGAGTATATTATGATCATCTTTTTTTTTTTAGCTTAAAACGCATAAACATCTAAGCTACCACTAATTTCAGACAGACGTTAGGATTTTTCAGCCTTTGCGGTGCGTCCTCTGGTGAGGAAACATTATTTGGGGACACACAGAACGAGCAGCGGAAGCTTTTGGTTCCGTGTGTCACTGAAAAAAATCATCTGCACCCAGACCAGAGCAAAACGTTGTTAAATTAGAAAGATGGATTTATCAGAAGAAGAGCATGCAATTAAAGTCTAAATCTTCTTTTTTAGTTCCACGGTTAACAAAAAAAGGCTAACAAGTTTTTTCTCTTCTGACTCCAGTGAGAAAACAACTACTGTTTTTATGTTTTTCTATGTGCAACCTATAACTGGAGGGAGGGAGAATATTTCAGTTACATATATTGTAACTTATTGTGATTTAAAATTTACTCCCATGTACAATATGACATGCACGTCCCACTTTATGGATAATTTTTGGGTTAAATTTCTTGGAATTATACGCATATAAATATGTCATGTTCCCTTGTGCCTATGTTCTCCATGGGTTGAGAATAAAAGTCATAAAGAATGTTTGGCTACTTCTTTAAATGTCTTTTAAAAAAATAAATGAAATATACTGAATTTCAGTGCAGGTATTTCGTGACTTTCATTATGAAGCCTTGGAGAATGTAAGGACAGGAAACAAAGTTACACTCCCACTCAAATGGGTTCATAGGTTTCTCTGTTATTCAGGATTGGCATTCAACTCTACTGTATTGTTTTAGCCCTGTGCACCTGCTTTTTATTGACTTTTATATACAAACTTATTTATAAATTAGTTTCATTAGTAT